TGAACAAATATCAGGACAGAAAATAAAAGCAGCCAGGTATGAAGAAAATTAGATAAAAAGAAGGATAAAAAAAATGAATTGTAGTTTTCTGTGTAAAATAAAAAAATTCTGTGTTACCCATTTTGACTCATCTACTCAAAATATATTAGGTTCAGATATTCATATTAATGGATCAATGAACCTGCAAAGGGGAAGACAGTGAGACATATGCTTTGCAAGTATTTAATACGTCCCTATTGTCCTATTTTCCTGTTTCCTAATGTATATTTATTGTTATACTAATATTTCATTTACTGTAGTGATCAACACAGATGATATTTAGTAAATGTATGCCCAGTGTCCAAGTAGTTTTTATGATGTATGCAACAGTGTCTTTTAAGAGAATCTATTGATTTTCCTCTTGTAGTAAATACATACCTGTACATAATACCTGTACAGATATCTTCAAATATTGTCACCTGGACTTCAGTCTACCTTGTTGTCATCCAGAAGATGCAGAATATGTCCTAATTCCATCATCTAGAAATGTGCTGAAGTTCTACAAGAGTATGTTTCTACATTAGCACATACATATTTAAAGAGGTTTATGTGCCTTTGTAGGGATCCACCTTTGAAAGTAAATTTTCTTTTTCTTTTCACCCAGTCATCTACAATGTGATGAAAGGATAGACAGTTTGTAAGAGCTGTAACTGAAAAGACACATAAACATCTGTCATAAAATGATGCTTCTCAGTTTTTCTAAAAGTGTATTTTTTCATCAGTTAAGTTGTTCTGAAATGTGGAAGGGCAGTCCGCAGTTCTGGGAGGAGGCAGGCTAAGGATCAGCCTCTTTACAACCTGTTACACATTGTAGTTAGGGCTGTGTCATAGCTAAAGAGGGGCACTTTGGGAGGCTTTCCAGGAGGTCATTTTTGTAGTTGAATATTCTGACATTTATTGAAATATCCCGGGTGGTGCGCTTGATCAATATATAGGTAGAAAGACCACTTAAGGCATTTGGTTTTGGTTTCTAATTTAAGGCCTTTTTATTCCTTCTAACCAATACACTTAAAATTCCTGGCAACAATTGTAGTCTCACTTTGTACTCTGATAAGCAGGTTGTTTACCTAAGGGTTGAAAATCTATACTCCAGGACTCATGGTGACCTTCCTCTGTGACAACTTACCAAAAAGTAATGTCTTTGAAGGTTTGTTTCCTTTTATTTGGTCAACTTCAAATACATATTTTCAGTGCAATGTGGTTGCAATGTAAAGCATGCAGAAGATGACTCTACTGTTTGACTTTCTGTATTTGCCACTGTGTTTGGATTTGTAGTATGAAGAGACAAATAGAGTAACAACTGTATTTATTAGACTTGAAATACCTGCAGCTGCAGCTACTGCATGGTGAAGGTCATCCCAACATTCATTTGGAAAATGTAAGAGATGAAAAAAATCATGGACTGAGAAGAATTGCTGGGCTCTAGTCTCTAAGGAGCTTGTGATTTCCATGTAAAGAGCTTTGGCTTTTTCTTGCAATTTTTTCTCTCATTATTTCTTCTACTGCGTGTTTGCTGGTATTTTATTACTGTAGGGAAATAAATTTTAGATCAACTATTGAGTGATGACTATGTAAACCCATAAGATATTAACAAATATTATGAAATGGAGAGTGAAATGTTAGATTGTTTATGACAAGTTTATTGCTTTCTGATTATAGCTTCATTGAAATATAATTCCACTGGCTTCTCCAGCATTGCTCTTAAATTAGGCTGTCAGGAAAACCTGCAGTACATTTATTCTTATGTATCTTTGTCGAAGTTGTGCAATGTAAATGTGCAATGTAAAATTATTACAAGTTATTAATATACATTGGTTTGATGTAAAAAAAAAAAAGGAAAGTTTATGCCTTAATATTTTTTTATCAGTTTCTTATTTCCTGTCATTATCTATTCACACTGGTAAAATTTCTTAAATGGATTGGCTTGGCACTTCTGTAGTGCCTTTCAGCTCTGAAATGCTGTGAAGATTCAGTTTTGCAGAGAGCAGCCCAGTGAGGAAGGTAGAGTAAGTATTATTATCCCTATTTTACAGATGGGGAAGCTGAGGCACAGAGATTAAGTGACTTTTCCAAGGCCACACAGCAAGTCAGTAGCAGATCCAGGATTAGCGCTCGGGGACTTCCTGGATCCCTCTTCCATGCTTTAAGCAGTAGACCACAGTGTTCACTGGACTCAGCAAGCAACTCATTGCAATAATGGACAGTTCCAAGGACTTGCACATGGTCAGTGTGTCCACACATTTGTTTGCAGACTGCTGCAGTATGTCTGTATGGTTTCACTACTCCAGTCCTTACAGATTTGTGCCCTGTGTAAACTTTTGTACTTTCATCATCTTCAAATGGGTAAAAGGAAGAAGTGGTAGAATTCTGACATAAATGTGGCATGGCAAGGAAGAGCATTTAATTTTCATGCCTTATTCTGAAACTGCTGAAACCTGATGGGCCGAACGGCAGTGGTTTCATGGCTTTTAGGATGTTATTGTGGAGTTTGGTTGGCGTGAATTCTGTCTTCCATGACTGTATAATGGTTAGTCTTGCCTGTACTTTCAGTTTCAAACTCTCATTTATTGCAGCAATTAAAAATAATAAGTTCATAGTTTTCCTCAAATTCTGATAAAAAGCAGAGCATTACTAATTGAAATTAGGTTTTCAGTCTCTATTCATCCAGGGGAAAGTGGAATGGGATCTCTTTTTACTTGCATTGCAATAGTCCTCACCGCCCAATGAGTTTAAGCACTAAACTACAAATGAACCTTTGTTTCACCTCTCCCCTCCTCCAAGGGGGCAATACAGGAATCACAGAGATGACTTCTAGAGTAAATGCAGTATAGCTCTTGTAGGGGTAAATGCGAGGTGGCTTTCATGCTGCTCCCTGGGAAGTCAGCACGTTCAGTGCGAGGCCTGTTTAATTGGACTTTGCTCAGAGTTTGACAAGTGAATTGCTAACAACACAGTACTCCCAATTAAGCTGTTTTTCCCTGCAATATTAATGGAATAAACCCACTTCTGAGAATGAGGCAAGGCTGAGACTTGCTGTGACATTACAGGAAGAGGAGGCAGAGAAGTAAAATACTGCCAGAAGCTGAAAATTGAACACATGGGAAAGGAGAAGTCAAAGTGTATGAGCATATTTTGATAAATATTAATGAATTAATTTGTATTTAATTTACTTAGATAATCTGTAAAAGCTTTAAACTGTCCAGCAATTTAGTATTTTCCCCACTGTAAATTTTCCCTAACATTGCTTTGTTTCTAATGTGAATGTCTTATTCTAGAATAGCATTATTTATGATATGGCTCTAATATTTGGCCTTTGACATCCTGCCTAATCACTTACCCAGGGCATGGCATTGTTAAGTCTAACTGCTGTAAAATTGATTCATTTTAGTAAAATGATCAAATGGTTTGTGCAAAGTTCTACTTTTCTGGGACATCTTAATGGGTTATTAGCTAATTCTAAATTATTAAAAAACAAAACAGTTTTAATAGAAGCCCATTTCTTATTATGATATTTTAGTTATGTGCTATTATCTGTGGGAAAGCTCTAATAAAGACATTTTAACACTTGGTCTTTCTTTCTTTAACAGCCCAGATGCTTGGTGCTGACACATTTGTAGGATTTTTCTATGTAAGATAGCTACAGCGTGACAGCTATTTTTAAAAAAGAAAGGAGCCTGAAACAAAAACTCACATCCAGAATGCACCACATCCAGCTATATAAGTGAATCCTTTAGCCTGAGGCATCTGATCTTTAAAGAGAGAGGTGCTCAAAGACTTTAATTTCTTATTATATTCCATTGCATTCTACATGTAGATGTATATTTATCATGTAACAGTGGTATTTAAAACCCCTTGCTTCAGACTTGCATTAAGATACCAGTTTTACATACCGAAAGTGGTTCTAGTTCTAATATCACTTACTAAAACCCCTCTACTAATGACAAGTAAATATATTAATTGATACTCTTGTATAACTCATCATTTTTCATAATTTAATGGAACTGCTCATACAATATACACTATATACTATTTAGCAGCTGGATTTTTTCACAAGTGATGTCAAACTTGTAGTGAACTCATTTTAGCACAGCATCTAGTGTCTTGTTGCTGAACTCCCAAAAGATTTTTCTGTTCAAGGAAATGAGTTGGTTTTCTTTTCTTCATGTCAGAAATTGCAAAATCACTAATTGCTGTACCTTACCTAGCCTGAGTACAATGCACTAATTGATCACATACTACATTTACAGTTTAGTAGAGAGCACAGTTACAATGCATATGTGACTACAGGGTAAAATTAAACATGAAGTACATATTCCTGAGGAAGAATAGCTTTTCTGTTTTCTGCTATTAGTGTATGCTGCCTCCCTTTATACTAAATTCAGCTTGGTGTTTGTAAAGAAAAGCAAAGGCTTTGCAATTCACCAGTAAGTGAAGCCAGTTGTTTTCATGGTGTTGGTTTTATTTCTTACCATATTGTCACTAAGTATTATTGTCCAGATTTGCCAAAATATAAGGAGCCTTAGTAATTAGTAATTAATAATTAGGGAATTCTGCATGTAGCTCAAGATCCTGGTCTAAAGACAAAACTAAATGTGCATCCCCTTTCTTAATGTGCATGAGAATAAAGCTGCCTTGATCAGACATTTCTTCTCTCATCTCCTTTTGTCCTATTGGCTCGTGTTTTTCTTGGTTTCCGGTAACCAGTGTTTACTCATCATCTTGCAGATTTTACCAGGGGAAGTTTTACATGTCAAAGTTAGCTGTAATCATACCTCACTAAGAACTGATGCATAAGAAATAGATTTAACAAGTAAAATTTAATTCTTAAACCCCTTTTTGTTCCTGAGTCAGAAAAGTTAATAATGAAATACTAAAAATATCTTTGTTTTCTAGTACTGTACAATCTTGCCAATAGTTCCCAAATGAAAAGTAGCTTGTCTGTCCTTTTTTCTGTTTTGTAGAGAAATGATGAAGAGGCTGTTGTGGATAGAGGTGGAACTCGCTCCATTCTCAAGACACATTTTGAAAAGGAAGATCTAGAAGGTGAGGGATGATTTTTCTGTGCTTTACATTGTCACTTCTGAAAGTACTGAAATGTAATTCTAATGTATAAACTTATTGACTTGAGCAGGGATGCAAAGAGACAAGAGAGTAGAATCTCATCACTTATTTTAAAAAGAAATACTGTTTTCTTCTCACAGTGGTGTCCAGAAACAGATGATGGTGGAAGGAGTTACTATGGTCAAGTCCTGTGAATATGCATGTGTGACTTTAGATAAGTCTTTCAAGCTTTCCAATATGCAAATGCAAGCAGGACTGCTGATTTAGTACTCATAAAGGCTTCTACATTTGCATTACAATCCTCATGTAGTTTCCTAGCCACATCTTCAGCTGAATAAAAGCATTTCTGGAGTGTCAGAGATTGGGTACATATTTGCTGATATTCACTCCAGAAACCACCTAATTTGTCCATGTAGAAGAAAGTGAGAAATTGTGAGAATGGTTTAGATACTGCTCTAATGAGTCAGTTGCATTTCTGTTTGTTTAGTGTATCCAAAACTTTGGTTACTACAGTACTTAAACTCTTGTATTGAGTTGTATGAGCCCCCAAGTCATAGTTATGATGAAAATGAGTTTCTGTTTCACATATGATATCCCTTTCCTGAGACTGGAGCTGGCTGATTTTGTTAGCTTCTTGTAGAGGGGACATGGAGGTTCCTGTCTTTGTCACACAGATCCACTTGAACTAGCCCAAAAGAAATACTAAGATCAACATGCTCCATCTGAAAAGTTCCCTGCTTCAGGTTTAAAGTGAGGTAGCTCCAACTGTGCAGGAACTTGAGATTTCTAAATGCCTTGATTACTTCATCATTTTTTTTTTTCTTTTTTTTTGCTGTCTGTATGAACTTTGTGTTCTCTGATACATGTTGGCCATACTGATGATTTCATTGAAACACCAATGGTACACAGCAACTCTCTGTTACTACTTCCTTCAGCAATGCCTCCCTCAAAAAGCAGAGGTAGCTGCACCTGAGAGGGGCCTGGCAGTGTCTGTGTGAGGTTGTCTCTCACAGAAGGATGTTAGATGCTGTGCAGTGGGGCATGTATGAGGTAGGTAGCTCGGTAAGAGTACCACTGGGGCAGGCTGGCAATGATGGTTTTGGGCTTAGGCACAAAACCCCGTATTTTGAATCTCACATCAAATCTGTGGTCATCAGTCCCTTGGTTGCATCCTTGATCAAAGAGAAACCATTGTATCTGGTGTCCTTAGAGAAACACCCAATAAAGGAGTGGGAGCTCCCTGTCTCCCTTTCTCAATGGTACTGGCTCAAAGAGCTTTTGTGGGGTGAGTCTACCCACAAAAATATCCTTTTGCTGAGTCATATTGTATATGATGGTAAGGTGGCATTTTGAAAATGGACAGCTTTCTGGGCAATGACATCTCTAAGCTCAGTCACATGAATAGACTGAAGCATTAAGGTTGCCAGAGTTACTGTGATGTTCCACATGTGACTACATGGAACATAATTTAAGAACTGTTTTTCATTATTTTTTTCCCTACCATCCTATGTACGTAGAGTTTCTCCTGTGAAATATCAGTGAAAATATTATTTCAAAGATCTGCTCTTAGGATGTTATCAATGGAAATTGGAACATGGCAGTGATGCTCCCACAATCATTCCATCAATTTAAATTGAATTAAATTTCAAATACTGAAAAATTCTGCAGTTAGAAAATAAATCTGCTTTTATTAAAAACAAAGTCTTATTGTTTCATGATGTTCTAAGAAAACAATTTTTCAGTGTAGAATCAATCCTTCATAATGCAGTTAGCTTTCTCAGAAAAATTTCATGCTCACTCTAAGTTCAGATCAGGTTGTCTTTAAATACATAATCACTACCTTCAAAAATACTAAGTGACATAATAAGTTTTGAAGAGATAGCAGATTTTAATATCCAGTTGCTGTTAATAGCATGTCCATTTATTTTGCAGTACATGTAGGCATTTCTCCCCCTGGAAACAGTGAATGTGACTCACAAATGTCTGTCTTACTCACTGTACATTGTGTTGGGTTCTGCTGAAAAATGTGAATTTTTTCTAATGACATAACAGCTATGAAATATGAAATTAAATAATCAGGTGCTAATTGCATACCTTAGAAAAATAATATTATCAGACTATTAGTATGTATTATGTAATTAGCTTTTTGACAGGCATTTAATTGGGTTTATGTTTTAAAAATGTAAATAGCTAGTTACTGAATATTCTAGGGAAGACTAGATTTGCCAGGGCGTAAGTTTCAATGGCACCATGTCAGCACCATTTCAAAAACTGCAATTCATATGAAGAACTTCAGGTTTAAATCTGAACATCTGAACAGTATTCAACTTCGTATTAAATCTTGTCATTATAAGTATTTTGTCTTCTTTTTTTCTTAAATTTTATATTCTCAACTTTTGAATTTCAGAAATACTGATTTAAATGTGTACTAAAATTTCCATTTAAAATTTCAAAGCAAATATTTGGACTTGCATATTTTAGGCAGTCGTTGTGCAACTATACTGCAAGTACATTTCTTGTTGAAAGCATGAAGATATGATGATTAATCCTGCCTCGAAGAAGAGACACGAGAATAGATTTTTGCCTCAGTCTCTCTAGATCAGTATTTTCTTTCCCTGAGCAGTATAGTAAAAGTTTGGGAACATATGACAGGAACTGCAGAGGGAACAGAAGAGATGTGGCACTGATCTTAGTGCCAGTACTTGCAGTAAGTACTTCAAACTGTATCTTTTTACTTAAGTTTGGTAGTGCTTCAGAGGTGAATTGTCTGCAGAGCTTTGGCATTCAGATTTTCAGCATGAATTATTTTTCCATGTAATTAATTTTTTTGTGAGTTGTAAAGTCAGGATCAGTCACTAATATTGAATAGGTCATTTGTCTGACTGTTGTTAATAGAAGGACTGAAAGGCATTTATAAAAGCAAAAAATATTATATTCCCTGGCTTTAATCACCTGTTTTGCATGTTTTCTTTCAACGTGTGTCCAGACAAAAATCCTACTGAAATAAATATGCTCTCATTTTTATCAGTGGTGTAATTCCTAAAAGAGAATTTGGCACTGATTCTGAGTGCTCAAGTATTTAATTGCAAAAGGACATGTTGTACATGTACCTGCCTGGCAGCTAGGTAAGTTTCCATGGACAGATGTGCACATCCACTGTTGCTCTCAGCTTATTCCGTGGAGTTGGCTCTGGCTCTCTGCCATTGCTTCAATGCACGGTCAGTAAGAGCAGCTTTCTGATCTGATGAATACACCTACTGTTTATCTCATAGGTCAGAAATACTTGGATTGCTCTGTGCTGGAGATCTCAGATTTTCTCAGGTCACATGCTGAGACTTTTGGACTATGTAGATATGCAAGGGGATTGACATTAAATACACTCTCACCAAGGTATTTTCCTTATGCCCACCGTGTTACTGAGAGGGAAAGTGACCGTTCCATGGCCATCCTCAGCTGCAGGATTTTTCTGAGAGTGTTTCAGAACTACTGGGGGTGTTACTGCTTTGAGAAGCAGCTTCAACACGGAGATGGATGGAGATCAGATTGTTAGGTGAAGGTTCAAGAATGAATTAGGGATGAATTCTGTCTCTGTTGGAGAAAATTGCAAAACGATCCTTGATTCAGAGGAGTCAAGATTTTGCTTTAGCTTTTTATGTTTCATTCATTTAATCTGCCTAAGTGGTGTGGGGAAATTTGCCTCAGGGGAAATCAAGTTTGCCATGTTTCATATCTCTGAGGACACTGTACAGTATATGCATCGCAGTACATCAGAATATGTCTCCTGACACTTTTTACAAAATTCAGATTATGTGGATTGCTTACCAAAAATCACAAAAACCCTTCAAGTTTAATTAGAATAAAAATATCACTAGTACAACACAGATTGATGCAGAAGCTGAGGCTTTTAACTTAATAAACCAAAAGTTAATTTTAAATTTTGTAGAGGTATTTTGCAATTAACAACGTGCATGAAGGATAATTTTGATAGTAGATGCTGAACAAAAAAGGTGACATTCCAGAGTATTTAATTATTCTCTTTTAAAAATAGTTATTTTAGTTATATTTTTTCTTTTTAGATTTGTTCTAGCTTGTGACAATAATTTAAATTTTTTTTTAAATTAAATTTTGATTATATACTGTTGGGGTTAATATATGAAAAACCTCGTGATTAAATGATAACCTCCATATGTTATTGCTTAGTAGAAATTTGAGTGGCTAAAGTATTTTAAGTAGTCTTTTATTCTCAGAGACTGGACCTTTTTAGCAGAAATAACATCATAGCACACCTGTCTGCCACTGACATTATTTACCTGAAAATTAATAGGACCTAGCAGGTCATAGGACTGAAACAATATAAATTTTAATAACCTGGCCTTGATTCACCTGTGCCTCAATGCAGAAGCAAGTCAGACACTGGCTCTGCTTGGTCAGACAGGAGCATCAAGCAAGATTTCCCTTCCTTTTGGCTCCCAGGATGCTCCAGCTTACTTCAAATAATTTGTTACCATGTCAGTACAGATCCCCTGCTCCAAGCTTCCTGGCCTGGGCTTCCCTTGGGTGCCCTGCTCATCCTGACATTCGCTCTGACCTCACTCGTGCTCCTTGCAGCAATGTTTGCTGCACTTAGATGGGAACAATAAAAGCTGTGGAAGCAGAGTCAGAGAATGATTTGGCTTAGTCTGTACCTGAAAGGTTGCTCTTTCATTTTGTTGTCTACCAGGTATCACATACTGAAGCTTATTCCATTAGTGATTCCTAAGGCACATGTTTCCGTAGTTACTCTCATCTAGTTTTGTTTTCTTTTTCCCATGTAATTCAATATTCCTTGAGATCTCACTTTTCTCCTTTTGTCTTGGCAATCACCTGGTTTGATCCCTTTGCTCCTGTTGTCCCTCCTCAGCAGTTTCTGTGTTAGTGAGGAGGTGGTTCACCTTGAAGATTCATGAGTAACTCTGAAGGATATGTTCACAGAATCTCTTTGA